AGGTCGCCTGGGTAAGGTCAAATTTGGCTATGATTTGGTGGTTGGTAGGAGAGAATTTTTTTTGATGGAGGTCGCCTGGGTAAGGTCAAATTTTTGGTGGAGATCTCTTAGGTAGCGGCAAATGCTAGAAAACCCTAGAATAGGACAAGAGCTAGGCTAGCTCTGATACCAAATAATTTTGGAGTTAACCCAAACCACTATAGAAATAAATATATTATTATTTGAAGCAAATAAACAGTTGCAAACATCACACTTGAAAGAGAAAATACAATAACATGACACAAACAAACAACATTAAAGTGTATGTCAAAGGTGGTGGAGGTCGGCTAGGTGGATCGGGATGGCTGGCGGGGGTGGCGACAACAAGCGAGTGCTAGTGGTGACAAGGGGGAGGTGCAGAAATGTTGGGATAACAAATATTGAGGCAGCCTCAGTTGGGGTGGATAGCAACGAGATAGCAAAAAGGGGGTGTTCCTTGACTGTCCTGAGCGGCGGCGACATGGCGGGAGGGTTGGGACAATGGGAAGGTGTTGTTTGGGCGACAACAATGCTTGAAGGGAGGGGAAGGTGGCTAATAGGTCGAGGACTGCGCAAAACAACAAACCAAGTGTTGTTGCGGGCGGCTGTAGCGAAGTATGGTGGTAGGGAGCGATGTGAGAGGATGCAGAAGGGAGTAGGAGAAAGGCAATCACCACCTTATAAGAGAGATACAGATAGCGATGTGAGAGGATGCAGAAGGGAGTAGGAGAAAAGCAATCACCACCTTATGAGAGAGAGAGCACCACCCAATCTATCGGATATAGCCCTCGAAAGAGAAAAACGGATGTCAGCGGGCCAACGGCTGTCCTGATAGAAGAAATATGAAATTCATCAAAACTAACCCTAAGAAAGTAAAACCACACATATATAATAGTTAATAGATAAAATAGGAAGGAATTAGAATAGGAAGGGAATAGAAAAAAATAAGGGGTCAAATAGAAAAAAAGGGACCGTGGTACTATATCAACTACAGTATCGCATCCCGGTAAGCTCCCGCGTCAGATTCTCTAGGTATTTTGATAGTTACAAGCTAGTCAAATTTACTCATTTCACAAAGAAGTATTTGCTAATCCTTATTAAGTAATTTTGCTTTAATTATCTAATTGTAACATTTCCTATAGCATTATGCATGATACATAAACATATGATAAATAAGTCAAAGAGGGGGTCTGAAATTATTGCATCAACTTTATACTTTTCGGTAATCTAATGAAACCATAAAGCTTTTCTATGTATACATTTTCTCTCCTATTTTCTTTCTGAATTTTCATCCATCTTTATAAATGTATGTTGTTTCCTATGGCAAAAATTAGGATCCTAAATGCTCTAAGGTATAAGGATTGATGCTAAGAACCAGAAGCCAAGTAACAGAATAAAAAGATGAAAAAGAGATCAATCCTTACAAAGACTTGAGATTTTATTATCACTAGAAAACTAAATCAAATGAAAGAAATATTAACAAAGATGAAACATAAATTCCTGGGGTATGTTCTAAAAATCATTCCACGTGTAAAAATTCCTGAATAATTTCTTAATATTCTATTACATGTACACATCCAACAAGTTTTAGGGCAATAACTTAGGCTTCAATAATTGATGAAACTTACATTTCAACAAACAATATTACGACTCTCTAATCTCAACAATTTGAGAAAATTTAACAAAAACTATCAAATGAATTTTTATAAAATTTACCAAGGCACGTAGCTACCCAAAAAGATTACAATTCTTTACTTTAACTAGTGTAATGGAAAATGAATTTGAATAACCAAGTAACTTGTGTCTGATGTCACCTTTGAATATTAAATATGATTTAAAATGTCAACTTTTTTAACACATTCAGAAATTCACCACTGAATTTGCTCTCCCTATGCCCTCATGAAAGTATGACATCATTTGTTGAATTCAAAAGGACATTTTGTTACTTAATATGAGCGTCTAAAAACCCTTCAAGAATTCTCAAGTAATGTTGAAAATGAGGCCAAAGAAAAGCAAATCCTCAAGAATTTCATCATTAGATTTCTGAAAAAATGTTATAAGTAAATATTTTAGAGCCAGCTATAGCACAACTAGTGTTTACTTGATGCCTATGAGGATCATTTAAATACAAACACGGCCTGTACAAGTCAACATTGATTTTTTTTTTTCATTGTCGAGTTGTGTGAACTTTCTAATAGTCATATCAATATGCCGAGTACAACGGGCTGATGACTTTCAATTAGCAGGGAACTTGAAACTATTTCATAGATATCAACATTGTCGACTTTAGAGCCAGTGACTTCAACATCGTGATTATTGCCTTGAAATGTATAATTAGATTATTAAAAAAAATCTAACAAAAAATTGGAGGGTCGCAATAAGCTTCTTCATACTCAATATTGAGTCCTATGAAAATTTTAATGGCTATAATAATATAAACCATTCGTGATGACGATTTGGCATCCAATGCCAATGAGGGTTGATGATCCAAGTTATATCCATAGAAATTGGTTTTTTTTTAACGACGATTACGGCATGAGGTATCTAATTCTAGCGCCTTTTTTTAGGACTGCCAACACCTAAAAAAATATAAACGAAGAATTTCTCAAGGCTGGGAAACTAAATAAATATGGTATTTAGCAAGATCCAACAAAATAACAATGAAAGAGTAGCAAAAAGAGCCTACTCTCATACAAACAATTCATAACACTAGAGTACTCCAATCATGGCAGGGTAACCAGGCGCAAAAGCCTTCAGTTAGCCTTAAATAACCTTCATCAATGCTAACACGTAAATGTATGGAAATTCATAACATGATGTCATTGTCACCAAGTTTTTTTAACATCATTTTCAAATATTATCTTTGTGAAAATGAATGGTCTTTTTTTTTTCAATTGACGGCAAATTGTTGGGCCCCACATTTCAATTTTTCTAGTGATAGTATTAAAACTGAAGAAACATTATGATCTTGATTATATCGGGAGAAAAATAATGCCAATACACTGCTATGATGAACATAATTGTAGTTAGTACACCAATGAATTATATAATGTTATCTTTGATTCTATGCTCACAATTTCATAGTAGTGGTTTCAAATTCCCATATCAATACAAAGTTTATAGCATGAGATGGTGATCTATTAAAATCAGTTACAATCTAGGGAAAATTACTTGAAAGGCATTGAAAGTGTTCAGTAGGCTTTAAAACTCGATGTTCAAAGATGAAGCAGGCACAAGACTACTTGCATTAAAACTGTTAGTTCATTCTAAAGTGACATTCATCTATGCTTAACCACAATTAATTCCAATGGGTACAAGCTAAAGTAGCATCCAATCCTCTTCTCATCTGTATTATTGCTTGTTAGTGTGATGTAGTTGATTATGAGACTTCCTAAAAGTTAGTGTATATTGAATTGACCTGTGATCAAATAAATAATAAATACCCTAACAAACTTTATGAATCATAAAAGTATTTGGTGATTTTCAACCAAATGATAATATGATATATCCAAACCATTTTTATAAGTTTCAAGTCACCCAATCTATGAATTTCTTGATCATGGTTAGCCATTAGAATAGGTTGAGCCACTTCTAAACCATAGCATTGCCATATGAGGCCCCCTATTAGGTCAATAGCCCGAGTTTTGGAAGAGTTTCTCCTGGTAGGTTTCAGGAGAATGTATATAATCCAAGATAAAAAGATTGACCTATAGCAAGTTTTAACGAGAACGTGTTTCAATCAATTAAATTAACCTCATGGGACCCGTTTAACAAATTTGGGGCAATTAACAGATCAAATTGATGGAGCCAATCACTTTCAAAGATTTAAATCAAACTTAAGAAAAGTCCTATTGACTATTTGTTCCACTCAATCAAATGGGATTAAACCTTCCAAAAGAGACCCAACTTAGAAGTTTCACCCATTCAAATCTTATTGAGCAAATTCAATTAAATTAGCTTCAATGGTTCATTCATTGGGATGTCTCTAAGTGATCCATATACAAGTGAACCCTTAGGATCCTTTTCCCTAAACTGTGGTTAAACACTTTGACTATGAAAGACTAAAATTAGCCCATTTAATATCACATGAATCTAAGTAGACTAAGAGCCTTCAATTAACTTAACCAATAGACCCTAGAGTTTATTTATGCACCAGGATAACTACGATAAGGTAACTTGGTGCACACTAAGGCAAATGATCCTCAAAAGGAGACATTGCCTACGAAGTGAAAAGTTAAAAAAAGAAGGAAAAATTTATTTCAAAAAAGAGGGGCATAAAATAAATGAAGGAATGATCAAGAACAGGACTAGTTATTTTAGTTGATGTAAATTGATAGTTAAAAATATCTGAGAACCCGGTGATATGCTTAAAATAGGTTTATGTAACTTGAATTTTCTGTACAGGAAAACATATAGCTGTGTCATAACTAGGAAATACAGAATAAGAAAAGTTCATTATATTATATAAATTGTGCGAGTAAGACCTTTTTTGAGCATATGGTTGGAGGTAAAAAGAACTTAGAAGGCTTGCGTATGTAGGAAGGAGAGAAAGCATTTGAGTAATAATGAGGTGAAATAGAATTAATGCTAACGAAATAAGCAGGAAATGGGGTGTATTGACTGAAACATGATAATTTGCACAAATTATTTTGTTTAAGCTGCAGTTAGCACCACAAACAACGAAGTAAGATTGAACTAAAAAATATTATTCATAAAGCCAATCTCGAGAGTTAGAAAGCGGGGCTGCTGCTTAGCAACAAACTACTTCCAGTTCATATTAAAAAAAAAAAAAGTGAGAAACAATCAAAATAACCCTGCAATGAAAAACAACAGTAGTTGAAAATCAAATACAAAATTAGTCCAACTAGAAAGTTTAAGCATAAAGATATAATCTGAAATTAATTTGAAAGATTAGCTAACCTCACCTGAGTAAATCCTAGGCATCTTGATAGATAAAATTTGCCCGCTATAGACGTTAAAGCAACCATTATTCCAATCGAAACATCACAAAATGGTCATCATGATCCTTATTAGGAAGGAGCCAATAGATCGATCTGTACAGAGCACAAATCACAAAAACCAAAATTATCATAAATTGTACTAAAATTATAGCAATGGTAATAGAACAGGAAAAAAATGAAAATGGTACTTACCATGTGCAGTCACAAATTGAGTCAATGAATATATATTTGTATCTACAGTTGTGATGTAACAGGTCCTCTTTGATCAAGTAAGGCAATGGCAAAATAAATTGCAATAAATGCAAAAGACATTTTGCACCTCTTCTTCTTGAATGCTGGGTAATAAAAAAATTTCTCAAAAGCCCAAATACTGAACAAGCCAAGTTAGCAGACATTTTAGCCATCCTTCAACGCAAAGCTCAATAAAATCCAAACTCCTGATGAATACATCAATTTTACTGCAGATGGATCAGTCCAATTGAAATATCTTAGGACGCAAAAACACACTTTACAAAGTTGTCAAACAATTCAGCAGCACATACAAGTTTTCCCTCAAATCCATTTTATGTGCAAGGAGCTTGCTACCAGTTGGTGAGCCACCAACCAAATGTTCACATTCACCAAAAGAAATTTGTGCTGAAAAACAGAGAACACCAAACAATATTGTCTAGTGACGTGCCATGCACCTATTCAGTCAATGGCCAATGGAATTCATTGATAATCGCACAAGCCGCAATAGTCCTTCAACATTGTGGAAGTTAAAATCAAGGACTCTACTGGCAGAGCACGCTTCAATACCATTCTTTCCCAGGTCAGTACTAGCAGCTGCAATTGCATTCTGTGATTTTTTGGTGGCTTCAAAAGCACAATTTAAATAATTTGTCTGGAAAAAATAGCACATTAAACAAGTTAAGCTTAATTACTCCTGTGTCAAGAATAACCAAATGCAAGCTCATTCAACAATTTATCTGCTATCTACCGACAATGAATAGCAAAACTATTTGCAATCCCCAAATTACAAAAAACACTAATAACAAAACCTAAACAGCTCTAGTTAAAAATTCAGAAAATCATGCAAACCCTGATCAAGTCCACGATTACTTTCACACAAGAAATGACAGAAAAAATGCATTAGAAAACTAGAGCTGCATGTTCAGGAATGCTTCTTCTTGCTGATACCATTTAAAAAAAAAACATCAACATTGTTGTCCTATTTGAGTTATATTTTCAGTAAGTGATATGCCTTGTTTGAATCTTCTTGATGCAAAAGGGGTGAAAAAGCAACAACTTCAAATCCATTTTTTTGCAGTAAGATGGCTACAATAAAATACATCCCATTTCCTCTCATAATACAAGAAATATCTTAATAAAAGTGCTAATCTAATACAAAGTAAAATTTGATCAAGAAAATCAACAGAACAAGCTAAAAACTAAAAACCAATTAAATAACATTAAACATAGATGATGAACTCAAACAACGCACACCACAAGCACACCCCCATCCCAAACCTCCGCCCAAAAATAGTGCTCTCCAAAGATTAATACTCCAAAGTAAAATGGATATCATAGGGAGAAAACAATTGTATGATCACATAGTAGGAAAAGAATGCCATAGAAATGAGTGTGATCATGCATTAACATGAGAATCAAAGCATGCAACTTACATAGGTGAGCAGTCGCATAACATGGGGACGATTCCGGGAAGCTATAGCATGATTGCTAGGAATTTGAGGGGAACTGATTGGCCTCACTGAAACAACCTTATCAAGCCCACCATGATTATTTAAGTTATCAATATCAGAAGCAGAGGACGATGGTGACTCACCTATAAACATCATTAGCAAGGTAGAAATATGTTAAAATTAATGAAACAAAATTAACAAAAAGTTTGAACACAAAAGAGAGAATGTGGCAAAGCTTAGAAAAAAATCAAGCATATTTGATAGCTCGTTATAGAAGTAGCAGAGGACAGCTGTCTATATTAAAAAATTCTATATTTATTTGCTACATGTAAAACCTACAAGGGTAGCAAAATTATTCCAAACATGTTCTCTCTTAATAACGACAAATCAAAAGATATGTCCTTCATTTAAGATGGTGGACAAATCTCCAGAGCATTAATTAGTCAAACATGTGCTTTGAAAGAACGAGTAGCATTCATGAAACTAAATGTTCTGGAATTCATGCTTACAAATTTATTACATAGCTATAAAAATTGATATTTTCAACAGATACAAGACAAAACACTGTAATTATGTGACAATCATAGAAAAGAATCATCCATGTTTCATAACATTAGCATTCAAACGACAATATTTCAAAAACTTCCTAGTATTTAGTAATATTTTTCATACTTTTCTAAAATGTTAAAAAAATCAAAATAAAAATATAAACTTGAAGCATATAATTATAAAACACTCAATTTGTAATTGAAAATTAAGAACAATGAAAAGAAAGGTCAGCTACCCTTCGCAGTAGAAGCCAAAGCAAGAAAAAAAGCGGCCGTATAAATTGGATGACAACTTCAATTAAAAAAAACTTCAGAAAGCAAAAAAGATTGGTTTGTATATGGCTATAGCGAAAAAAAAAAAGAAGATAAAATATAAACTTAAAGACATTAACATGGCGACATCCTTATAATGCATTGTGTATTTGCACTTTTAAGGTCATCATTAGCCTTATCAAAACTAGTTGGGGTGGGCTTTATAAATCATAATTGTCCATTAGTTCTTGTTGGGTGTTGCATAAAAATGTTAATAACCCTATTAAAGCTTTTCTGCAAGAATTATATCCATGCTACTTTGACCTAATCATTTTCCTTCATACCCTTATCCTTAGGCACTAATTTTATCTAACCCTCTTATACATACAAACGTACATACATACACACATACATATACACACATACACACACACATATACACACACATATATATATACACGCATATATACATACACACACACATATACATATGTATATATGTATGTATGTACGTATGTATGTATATGTTACCATTAACTTAGATTATACTCCACTATCATATCTTTAATCGATGTTATTTCATCGTTAGTTTAACATAATCATTCCCAATTGAAACTTGATGGTTTTTTCAAATATTCATCATACATTATCATATTTGCAACAATCGACTTGGTTCAGAATCATTTTGTTACTTCCAACAATTAGATTGACATAACATAGCCAACCGGATTATTTAATACAAACTATCAATTACCATTCAAAATCTCCATTATATTCAATTGCTGCACAATACTACCTACTTTTCCATTTAAAAAACACAATCATAACCCGAGATGTTATACCCTAACATATGTTTCATTCTTACATAGATATATCTAATTTGAAAATGAATAATGAAAAAGTGATTAAAAAAAAAAGACATAGGCTTGAAGCGCCTGAAATGAGGACATCCTTTCCTATACTCAATGGGCAACTCGATATTCATTCATAAAACTGGTCTTTCTTTCATTTATAGGTTTAGTCAGTTAATTAATGACTTCTTGTTTTCTAATTTATTAACTTTGCACGGCATTAATTTGATTACAATTGATACTGAGAAAATAGCTGAATGGTTTGATTAAATTCTAATTGCCTGATTTATCAGCAATTGAGTTTTTGGAATACTAGAAATAATATTTAGTAACTTCGTGTCATTTATTTATGAAAAAATATGAAACATTTTCAAGACAAAGTTTGCGTTTAAATTATTATGATTATGCATATAATTAATTAGGCTCGATAACAACTCAAACTCAATAAAAGAATAATGAGAAGAAAATTTTAAAATAAGATAATATTCAAGTTTGGCTTAAGCTAGTAAATTATGAACTTAAATAATATAGCATCTGGGTCAACTCAATTCCCTTATATCCCTAGTTATGCTATTCTATGCAAATATCTTTGCATAAGTTATATTTATGTTGATTAAAATCTAAATCTTTTACTTTCCAATCCTGGACAATATTTATATTTACCCTTGTTCTGAGCACATTCGCCGAACACAGCACAATTGCGAACTCACACCAACTAAGTTTGTTTTGCACAATTTTATCTTCAATGGATGCTAATATTAACTACTCCAATAAAATCATTCATTAGTTTAACTTTCTTAATTTTTCCATACATCTATTCATTCTCATAGCTCAACTCAATCAAACACTTTTTTACTACCAAAACTCGGATTCACATAAAAAATAGCTAGCCTAATTGTAATTAATTGAGGTGTACCTTTAAGTTCATGATATTCACTTGTCACATAATGATCCTTGGGTGATTCTCCAAATTCTTAATCTAGAGGTTGTAGTGTAATGTATATCTACATTCTTCCATAAATAGAACTTTAAAAAATTCATGGGTAAAATAAATAAACAAATATGAAGTAATCCAAGTCTTCAAACTCAAAAGAACAAATGCTTGAGACACCCAAAAAGAGGATGACAAAGCACTCCCAAATCACAAGAATTTCAACATTCGTTGCCTAGCAAACGCACAAGGCAGTTGAAGGCACCTTCCCTACCTGCTACAAGTAATAAATGTAGCTCTTGATGGTAGGAGTAGAGAAGTACCATAAACTAAAGCCTATTAATAGGAATAAGCTTCTGAAGATGATGATTATGATAGTGAAAATGACAATAACAACGATGATCAAGGTACTCAAGTCAGCCTATTGTATATTTTAAAAAGTTCATGGGTGCTCCAAGTGGTAATTAATACACCTAAGGGAATGCTTTCTGAAAAATTTCAATGCCTTTCCATTTGTTTAAGATAATTAAAAATAATAATGTAAATGCATGCCCAATTTCCATATAGCTCATATAGTAATATCTAGCAGAAAGTGCAAGCAAATTCACTGATAAGATGATGCAGGATTAAACCCTCCAGCCAAACAAGGTTGACGATTCAGTAATTACCAGTTCAAATAACAACATTTTGAGTAGCGATGTTTTCATTACCAATTAGCGGTGCATCCAGAGCAACTTGCAGCTCAAGCCGATCTTTACTGGCACTGGGATGTTTGTAATATGCAACCTTCAAATAAGCCACTTCCGCACACTTGTATGCTAAAGCAGAAGCAACCATTTGTTTCAATCTTTCAAACTCATATGCACAAAATCTGTTAGAATAAAGCAACATAAGCCCACAATAGATTATATCACATTTTAATTTTTTGTAGGAGCTTCTAAAAAAAAAAATATCTACAGGTTGAAAATTATATTATCAGCCTATCACCTCTTATTATATTGGGACAAGCAGCAGATCCCAAACAAAAAAGTAATTACATTTTCATGTTTGACTGCTACCAACTACATTAGTATTAATCTGCAAAACTATTGCTTAACTGTTAATATATTAGCACATGCAAATTCTGCACGGCAAGATCTAAGCTAAATAATTTTCTAGAATCACAACAGAATATTAGCTAAAGAGTATGGTAAACAAGCTTTTTTCTATGATTCAGTCGATTGCTAGAATCACAACAGAATATTAGCTAAAGAGTATGGCAAACAAGCTTTTTTCTATGATTCAGTCGATTGCAGCATACCTTCCAATTTTGGAAAACCTTAATCACATCAAAACAATAAAAATTTAGCAAAAAGTTGAAAGCACTCATAAATTTGGTAAAATTTTGCTCAAGCTAATTGAACAAATTCTTCAAAAGATAGTTCCCATACGCATAAGATACATCATTCCCAAATAAGATGATCTAATTCTTTTTTATTTTTTATTACACAATCTTTCTTGTATTAATAATGTGAATAGTTAGATGTTAATACTATTTGATCATTATTTCCGCCTTAGTTAATTCTAAGCACCAGACCGGGCCGTAACAAAAGTGGTATAAAAAAAATTAGGTTTGATCATGACCTAAAAGAGCAATCATGATGACTAAATTAATTTATAAATGATATTAATGAAATATTAAATTTTGTCTAATTATAATTTTCTTATGTTAATTCAAAAATATGGAAAATCATGGGGGGCGATGCTGGAGATGATTGATATTGTAGAAGTTGATGCACCCCCGCAGATTACTGTGAATACTGATGCATTTAACGAGATGATCACTCCAGAAACACAGTTGATTAAGAACTCTCAGACTCAGTCCAATACTAGTGGAGATGAATAAGTACATGAAATTATTTCAGGATATAATACCACCTCTCTTTTCTGGGGAGAAGATCTGGTAAATGCTGCAAATTGGCTATTGAGAAAAGAGAAGATCCTAGATGGATTGTCTTGTCCTCCGGAGAGAATGATTACACTGGCTACAATTGCATATATGAGAGAAAAGCAGAGAGGTGGTGGCTTGGACAGCTGCAAGAGAAAATTGGGGGTAGAACTAGTCACATGTTCGGTGGGGTGAGTTCGTGAGTACCTTTAAAGACTAGTTTGCACCACCGTCGGCCACAAGGCAAATGCAGGACAAGTTTATCCGGTTGGTATAGGGTGATCTATCCATTATGCAGTATGAAGATTAAGTCTTCGTGCTCTCTAGGTATGAACTTCAGTTGGTTCTTAATGCAGAGGAGAAGTGCCACATTTTTAACTAGGCTTAGAGATGCGATTAGACAACCATTGATTCCTCTTTGAATCGATGATTATTCTGTTCTAGTATAGAAAGCTAGGAGGATTAAGCTGTATCTGGAGGCTACTCAGAGGAAGGATATTCAAAAAAGAAGAAATTCAGAGGGATCCAAGTTTTCTCGAAGCTCTCAAAGGCAGTCCTTTCAGTTAGTTGGTACAAGTGCTAAGAAGGCTAGATATAGCAACGTTCACACTCAGTTTAAAGCGAAGAAATGTGGCAAGTGTGGAAGATCTCACTAGAGTGAGTGTCTATCTGGATGCAACACTTGCTTTTGGTGCCAACAACAAGGACATATGGCGAAGAATTGTCTTAAGTTGGGTCAAAGAGCTTCAGCAGATTCCAGAGGCGGTGCTACAACACCTCAGAGGAGCTATGGGAGACCGAGGGCGGCTGAATCTTCAAGGTCAATACCAAATGCAGGTCAGGCTCAGCAGAATGTTCAGCTCTTTCACGGCAAGAAGCTAAGGACTCTGCAGACGTCAGCACAGGTATGTTTTACTTTTAACATTTTCAACATTGTGCACTTTAGCATTATAGGATTTATGTCACATCATACATAAAATAAGTAAGAATTTAAATCTTAATAAGATAATTCAAAATGTTTAATGGGTGATTTTAATGATAGGTATCATACATATTCAGAATAGAGCAATAAAAATATTATTTGATTTGGGGAGTATCACACTCATTTATAGCTGATGAACTAGCTAAAGTGGTGTGGTTAAATATCATTTTGATGCTTGTGATACTATTAGTTAGAATGTCAAATGACGCTTTTCTGAAACTTGATCAATCATGTGAGGTGAAGCTTATGATTGGTGGAAAGAATTTAATGCCCAACTTATTGTGTTGCCCTTAGTAAAATTTGATGTGACTTTAGGCATGGTTTGAATGTCTGAAAACTGCCACTATTGATTGCAATAAGTAGACTGTCTAAATAAATGTACCTGGTGGGAGGCAGAAGTTAAATTTTCTGGTGACAGAGGACTGACATTTATGATTATGAAAGCTTGCAAATTGTTGAATCATGGAATTCTAGAGTTTTCTTTCTCAAGTAGTAGATACTTCTAAGAAAGTGAAGTCTTTGGGTGATATTTCAGTGGTAAGAGAATATCCACAGGTGTTTTAGGATGATTTACCATGGCTACCACCAGTGCGAGAGATTAATTTCAGCATTGAGCACTTGTCAGGTTCTGAGCCTGTATCTAAGGCACCTTACAGAATGACAGTTGAAGAGTTACGGGAACTAAAAAATCAACTGGAGGAGTTACCAGATAAGGGGTTTATCAGACCTAGCACATCACCTTGGGGAGCTCCAGTGTTATTTATGAAGAAGAATAATGAAAGCTTCAGGATGTGTATTGATTACAGGGAGCTGAATAAGCACACAATTAAAAATAAATATCCACCGGCAAGAATTGACAATTTGTTTGATCAGTTGGAAGGGGCCTTTGTATTTTCAAAGTGATTTGAGATCAGACTATCACCAACAAAAGATGAGAGAAGAAGACATAGCGAAGACTGCTTTCAGAATCAGATATGAGCACTATGAATTCATGGTGATATCATTTGGACTGACAAATGCTCCAGCAGTTTTCATGGACCTAATGAACAAAGTCCTCAGGCAGTTTGTGGATACTTTTGTGATCGTCTTTATAGATGAAATTCACGCATATTTGAGGGATGAAATCAATCATGTAGATTGCATATAAAGTCAGTAAGGCGATAGCAAACTCAGTTGAAATTCAGCCTGATGTGACATATATTGAGAAGCCAAAAAGGATTCAGGATTATGATGTAAAGAAACTGTTGAACGGAAAGATCCATTTTGTGAAGATTTTATGGAGGCACGAATCGAAAAAGGATGCTACTTGGGAGAAGGTCATCGAGACGAAAGAAAATATCATTAGCTTTTCTGTTGAGGTATGTACTTTCATGTTTATTTTCAAATTTCGATGATAAATTTTTTTATGAAAAAGGGAGATTGTAATAAGAGAAAATTAAAATAATAGCAATACTAATAACAATACTGATAATACTAATAATAATAATAATAAACCGACACATCCCATTAGTTATAGCATAACCGTCACAATCCACATTCGAGTGAGGAAGAGGAAAGGAATCCGCATAAGAGAAGGAAGAAAGGAGAGGGAAGAATGAAGGAAGAAGTTGTGGCTACTGTATAACGTCGTGCCCTAGCCAAGAAGGAGGAGAAATCGAAAAGAAGGAGAAGGAAAGTCGTTGAACAGCATCAAAGAGTTACCTGGACTGGGTCGTGATCGAAGAGGAGGAGATGTCGGCGTTGTGTGCTCTGTTGGGGTGAGACGGGACCGAAGGAAGAAGAACTCACGCAATCGAGCTGAGACTAAAGAGTGAGCTTCCCGCGTGAGCTAGGCAGAGGCCAAAAGTCATATAAGGTATATTTAATATTTTTATAAGTTAAATTAATATGTTATTGCGTATAAATTTTATGAGTGTGTGTGTAAGTTTTAAAATACAAAATAAAATTTAATCACGACTTTAATACAGAGAAGAACCATCTATTTAAATCATATTTCTTATGATGCTTGATTGCTATGTTTCTTATTATTTTATCAATTCAACATAAAATTAAAGCGATTTTCCTAATGATAAATGTTAAGAAATATGATTTAAATGTAACATGATATATTAAGCATGGCCACAAGCACCAACAGCCCCACTTTTTGAAAAGCATATAGTCGTCAACAAGTCATGTAGACTTGTTGAAAAGCATAGCTAAAAATTGATTTTTAAGAAAAATTTCAGAACTAAACTTAATAGTTTGATATTAAATCACACTTTCTAGTTGAAGTTCACACGATGTGGAATAACAATTAAAAAAAAAATAGTACATGTGGTCAATAAATCAGTTTCTTAAAGCAGAACTGAAACTATTCTCAAAGATATTAAACCACAGGCAATGAACATTTAAGAAGTAAACAATAATAGAGAAAAACATAGCGTGCCATTGTTAAGCAAAATCAATAATTGCAACAATACTAACAGATAAAATCAATATTCATCAAAAGGACGAACAGAGTAGATTCAACAAAACTAATGGTGGCTGCATCCACATTCATTTCAAACTACATACTTGATACAACCATAAAGGTTAAGCTGCAAAAATATCAAACATTAGCATGCTCAAGCCCCAAAAAATACATTTAAGCCGCGCAAGTAAATCCTTGACGTTGCAATATTCCATATGCACCCAATGTAGAAAGATATTAAAAAAATTAAAGGATTTTATTGAAGCGTATTACCAAGGCAAACTTATAAAATCTGTACCCCGACTCCAGTTTAAGGTAGCCAACAAAATTAACACAATAAAAAATCTCACTATTTGATAGAACTTACTCGCAAAACTTGGCAGTTTCATAATACATCATCATCATTTGATTGGATGGAACCAGCTCCCCTTGTCTGGCATTGTCTGCATTAGAAGGTTCCAGAAGAGAAGCGGCAAATAGAAATTTCAGGGCAGACTCAAAAAAAATGCCACTGCTTTCATCTTCCAAGCCTACACTCTGCAGGGAAAAGCATTTATTCGTATGATAAAGTTAAGCTACATTTTGCTCTGAATATCAACGGGGGAACAGTTAAGAAGAATGTAGACCTTTAAGCGATGAGCAGTGTGCTTTAAATCACGAGCCTCTTTTATTAAAGCATTTACGCTAGAATGGCCATCCTTCTTCATTGGACTTGATGACCCAGGCACACTAGTTGCGGATTGCCGCAACAGATTGGGAAGAGTTCCATTCTGTTCATCATTGTTTTTTAATTGTTTTGTTGACTTTAATATCTCATTATTTTCTGCATCGACAGAATATTGTTCTAAATTGGCCCCTTTAACAGAATCCGGAGCTTTTGGGGGACCCCCAACCTTTTTTTCAAGTTTATCTTTAGTTGTGCTAGATGAATGCATTCCTTTCCCAATACCCACTGTCGACTGACCAGTTGCCTCTCTCTCATGAGAAGATGACTTCTGAAGAATTTGCTGTGGTGCCAGTTTGGTTCGGCTTACACCTCCAATAGCATCTCTCAAGTCATGATTTTTCTGCTTCTTAGAATGGTTTTCCATATTCTCATTTTTTATAGAATTCAAGTGATCAAAATCAGCATCAGCAGGACCGGTGTTACAAGTTCTCACAGACTGGAAATCCTTCTGCTCAGTACTGCAACTAAGTACTTTAAGTTTGCCCTTATCAGAGCCGTTGTTCAAATTTCTCCTTTTCTCTTTCATATGTGAAGAATTCTTAAGAGAATTTTTAACACCAGATGTACAATGTTGATCTTCATCACATATATGGTTATTATCTGACTGTTCTAAATGATATTTTTCAGGATGATGGGGTACATTGCCATTAACAAAAACAACTTTTGCTTCACATGGATCAGTAGAACTGATGTCATCATGTTTAACAACTTCGGAATACTTGCCATCGATGGATTTAACACCAGGTAAACAATTTGTTTCTATATCCTGATAATCATGAGACCCTTTCAAAGAATCAAGAGCTCCAGACTCCGAAGATCTGTAAATTCCTGAAGATCTAAGACAATCATTAGAAGCTTGATCCTTGGCTCTTGTGCCTGATTGATCACTAGAGCCATCCAACTCACCATCAGAAAATCTTTTTGGACTGCCCGTCCCGGAGTAAACCATAGAGATGACAGTATCTTTTATAGATGAGTTTCTTCTGGAAAAGTTATTCTCGTTGTTTAAAATCCTCATTGGAGATGAAGAAACAGACTCTACTGGTGATCCTCTTGCTTCCAGTAAATTGACTTTACCCTTTTGGGATCCTGATACCTTGGAAGAACTTGAAGTAGCTGCTGCTAAAAACCTCACATTGGTCACATCCCGCTTCAAGCTATCAACACAATCCAAAGTCTGTCCTGACATTGCATTCTCTTTGTAATGTGCCATTTGCTCATCTGCCGAAGGTCGCAAACCCTCGTTAACATTTATAGCAGTAGGATGTTTCCTGTTACTAGATAATCCAATTCTTGTTGAACAACCTTTCATTTCAAAATTTCCACCCCCAACAATTGCACGGGACTCTTTCC